TTGTTTTTCTTTCAACTGGGCATGTCTATACTTATCCTTATGGCTTCTGTACTTTTTGACTTGTCTTAAAGATCTACTTCAAAAATTTATGAAAAAAATTATGAACTGTGGCACAGACTAAATGAGAAAATACTTCAGTGAGACTATTATTTGATATAGTAATAGAGGGTTGGGGATTTAGCTCAGTGGCAAAAGCACCTGCTGGGCCCTGAGTTTCATTACTGGTACAAAAAAAAAGAACCAGTGAGTAATAGAAATAGCAATATAGTAATTATTTGATTAAACTTTAATAAGGAGAGGAATGGAAAAGTTTAGTAGAAATTCAAACTAAGTGGGGTAAAGAGAAGGAAAAGATATTTACAGCTCACATTAAACTGGGAGGAAAACATGACTCCATGACCACCATCAACAGGTTTAGGAGCGAGCCAAAGTAGCTGTTGGGAGGATTTCATAAGACAGAAGAAGAAAAAGTAATGAGATTATCCAGACTAAAGCAGGAAGAGAAAGGAAACGGTTAAACATATAGAAAACTGCTTGAATTATAAGAAACATGGATAACATGCCCATTATACGTGAGGTGAGTCCCAGAACTGAGGGTAAAAATGGAGGGAATTAATATTGAAGACAGCGACCAAAAGATTCCTCAAGGTGACAAGACACAGAGGTACAAATTTAAGAATTGATACAAGCCCCGTGTAAAACAGAAACAAAAGTCACCCACATGTAGGCACTTCAAAGTCAGAGTGATAGAGAAAGAGAAATTTGAATGCAGCAACGGTGCATTTCCAAGAAGCGATGGTGTGTGAAGAACAATAAATTCTCACAATCAAAGAAACAATGTCATTTAATCTAGACACTTTGCCACGCCACCTATAGCCTGCTGAGAAGAAGAGGATGCCAATGCTGAGTTCTATAACGAGCAAAAACTGTTTTAAGTCAGGGCAAAATAAAGACCTAGGGTAACAAAACTGAGCAAATTTATACGCGATTTTATAAAGGGAATTGTTCAGGAACAGGCAATGGGAAGCCCAGTGAAATGATGGGAATAAAGACAGCAATAAACAGAGAGAAACATTATATGGAAATAAATGTATGCAGAATGAGCAGAACATGTGACAAGAGCATCTACATGATGACATCGGCTTCATAACAGGCACACAGAGAGAAGGGGAAACAACACAAAGACAAGCATAAACGTGGGGCTGAAATGTTCTAAGATTTTTGCCTTTGCAAGAAGTTTAAATGATTATTTTAGACTATTTGAGCACAAAAGGTTACATTGTGATCACCAAAAGAATTCAAAAGAATGAATGTGACAAGCTTATAAAAGGGAATGATGAATTAACAATTCTTAATTAGTCCAAATGAAAGCAAGAACAGCAAGAAATTGGAATATAGAACAAATGGGATAATGGAATTATAGGAAGACTGGTTTAAATCCAAATATATCTGATTTATATTGGATATAAAATAAATATTCCAATTAAAAGATAAAGATTGGGTGAAAACAAAATGCAACTTTATATGCCTCTTAATGGAACACACATTTTAAATATAAAGTCACAAGTTTGAAATAGGATAGAATAATATATACTCAGAAAAATGATAATCACAAAAATCTGGCATAGATATAATATCAGCTGGAGCTAATTTTTATAGCAAAACATCTAAATATCAAGTGGGATGCTCAATGATTAAAATCATGCTCAGGAATTTACCAACAAAACTCAATATATTAATAAACTGAAGCAGAAAAGCTGATCACATCAATAGATACTGAGAGAACTTTAATTATTGGTAATTAAAACCAATTAGGTAGTATACAAATCCAAATTCCACAAGATGCAGCTATAAAAAAGCAAACTGCCACTTGTGATAATATGGGTGAATGTAAAGGCATTGTGCTAAGTGAAGTAAGCCAGAGAAACATCCATCCTGCGTGATTTCACTTACATGAGGAGCCTACCCTCTGAAGCACAGAACGGCAGTTACCTGGGGCAGGAGGGGCAAAGGGGAGGTATGGGGCAAAGGTAAAAACTTTTCAGGCACAGCATATAAGTAAGTCCAGAGGATTTAATGCATAGCATGGTGACAGCAGTTGTTAATACTAAATTGTCTTTTTGCAATTTGCTTTAATGTTCTTACTACGAAGTAATAGGTAACTGCGTGAGATGGAGAAATTAACTAATTAGACTGTGATAATCACTTCATAAATATATGTATATCAAAGCATCCATTGTGCACCTTAAATATCAAACAATTTTCTTGGTCAATTATATACCAGTAAATCTGAAAGGTTTTAAAAAATTCAGCTGGCCTAGAGATCTAAGTTGAAAACACATACTCACAGAACAACAACAACAAGAAAACCAAAAAGCAAACCCCCAAATGACTAACACTGTGTTTCCCTCAAAATAATACCTGATTGGAAAATCACCGGTCTTGCAAACTAAAGACCAAGCATGCCGGCCCACTCAGCCTTACCTATCTTACAGAGCCATCACCGAGCAAGACAGTGGCGATGCCAGGTGAGGCAAGGCTGGGCGGAGTGGAGTCGGCATTTTTGATCTCTAGTTTTCAAGGATAAATATTTTCTGGTTAGGTCTTATTTTCAGAGAAAGAGGGCAGACAAAACTATTAGAAGAAAACTTGGGAAAATACTTGTGCTTAGCCTATTTAGAGCTCTCAGTAGAATTGGCTTTCCTTTTCCCTCCTGCTTGCTCTTTAGCTAAACAACTCACAGAATTCTAGAATAAAGCTTATGTAAGTTTTTCTTATGTGTTTCCATAACAGCTTTCCCATAGCACTGTGAGAGAGATCTTTGAATGCGGATCTTATTCATCAGATTTGCTTTAACAAAGGAAAGCTTTAGTACAGTCAGTGCTGAGGACATAACACATTGCAATATGATCTTTTGGCCGAACAGATGAATGATGATCCTTGGCCAGTACTGCCACAACCATTCAGCCAGCCAGGAAGACCCAGAAGTAGATTGCCTTATTGGGTAGTATATCACGCCCGGGCTTTGGAGTCAGACTGACCTGGATTGACTCCTGTTTGCAAATGGTGTCATCTTCTGTGACTTACATTTCTGCAGCTGATCTTCAGTCAGATGTTTTAGACACTACTGGGTCTGTCCTCAATGTTCAGAAACTGTTATTATGAAGTTGCACTAAGGTGGGTAACTTGCTGTGGCTGAGGTGAGCTTCCCAGTTTCTACCTCATCAATGGGATAGTCCACTGGAGTAAAAGTTGAACACCTTCACTGAGAACTTTGCTGCTTCATTTGCAATATCTGTGACCCTCTTTGGGCATCCTATATCCCTCTCTGACAATGCCTTGCCTCTGGCTGTGCCTTACGATCATTTGGCCCCACACTGGACCAATTAGATTGTTCTTTAGGAGTAGAGGATTTGGTACGCAGCTTGACTGAGAACTGCTATCTTTTAACTCTTGTTTCCAATAAGGTCCTAGATCACAAGCATTTTCTTGGCAAAAACAAATAAACAAACACCCCTATTTTGGCCAGGTATGATGGTACACACCTGTAATCTCAGCCGTCTGGGAAGCTGAGGCAGGAGCAGAATTTACAAAACTTAGGAAGACCCTGTAGCCAAACAAAAAGAATAAAAAAGGATACTGAGGCTTAATTCCCAGTACTGTGCAAAAAAAAAAAAAAGTTTCTTAAAGAAGCAATAAATTTAGCAGAACAGGCAAAGTTTGGAGCCAGAAACCTACAGTTCTGGCCCTGATTCAAGTTGCAGGTGTGACCCAGCAACCACAAGACCCGTATCCTTAGATTCCCAAACGGATCAAACAAGCACAATAGAATCTTCTGTTCTCTCTACCTCAAACCATAATGTGAAGTTTAAAGTGGAAAACAGTTAAGACTTATTAAAAATTTGGAATAGGATTACTAAGTAAGTATTACTATTTTTTGCTCTGCTCATAACTAGAAAATTCTCACTGCTCAGGTGACTAGATGTGGAGCTTTGCAGTTTATTTTACTTTCTTTAGACCCCAATTTCTTCATCTATGACATGGCAAAACCTGCTCTGCTGATTGCTGGTTCTCATTGTTAGCAAGAAAGGAAGCAATCGAATCTGGACACAAGATGTGACATGGCTATGTTGGTTATTTTGTTTGGTATTGCTGTTATAAAGCTGTGAGTAGCCACATATAAATTACTGAATTTAATCGTGTTAGCAAATTTCATAGTCTGTCATGGAAGTCCATGCTAATAGTCACTCAACCTTAAGTAAATAGAGAATCTTTGCCTGAAAAACTTTGATTATTTGCAAGAAGCCTCAGGGAACTTCTGGTTAAAATCAAGCCTGCCAAGGTGACAGGTACAATTGTTATGCAAGAATTGTCCCTTTAACTTCCATCACCTGAGCTTTCCTGACTGTTAAGTGTGTGATAGATCAATACTGCAAAAATCAACCCACTGAGGTGGGTTGAAATCCTTTGGTATGTAGCATCTAAATAGGACAAAGAGGCCCAGAGACACAGGCAGGCTGAAGTGCCTGGGCCCCAAAGTTGCCATCTAACCTCTGTCACTACATTCTCTTTCTGAGTTTTGATACCTGGTATCTCTCTAAACTCCAGACATCTACGTTCTAGGGTACAAGCATCTGTGCCCAAATGTTGACCAGAGCCCAGTGATCATAAAAGTTGTTTGTGGGATGCCTAGTATTTAGACTAGTAAAATCAAAGTTAAAGAAGGGGAAATCAGCACAGTTATGACTGATTTTGCCTCTACTAGTGTTTTTGTTTTTACCTTTGTCAAAGTGATACAAATGTATGTTGTCAGCCAGTGACATAAATAGATTTTCCTTTTGTAAGGCAAATCTGATAATTACTATTGTTGGGACATATTTTGTAACACACAGAAAAGTAGATTCAGGATGTCAGGTTTCAGGGCAGCAAAACAGAACAAGTCTCCTGGGAAAGCATGAACTGTCACTCCAAATGAGACTCTGACAGATGTTCCTGCTTACCTACAGATATGGTCCAAACAGCAATGATTTTCAGAAATGCCTTTGTTCTAGAGTTGAAGCGGCTATGGTGGATGGGGTTCTGGATGGCAACATAGCGGTCCAGTGAAATGGCACACAGGTGCATGATGGAGGCCGTGGAGAACAGCACGTCCAGGTAAATCCAGATTGCGCAGAGCTTGCTAGGCAGAGGCCACCGGTACCCTACAACACAGAAGCTTAGCATCAGTAAGCCACTTTGTGCCTCCTGGGGCATGTGAATTATGCTCTGGGACAGAAGTTTCCATTGTGGGGACAGGCACCGGAGACTGCAAAGGGCAATGTGAAAAGTTTTCAACCTCAGGACAAATTCTAACAGCAAATGTACTTCACTATGACACCGACTGATGAATACAAGGTCTGAGTTTTTTGGGGATTGTATTACTGTTATATGACAAACTCAAACTGTCTCTCTTCAGAGGTTCTGTCTCATTTTCCCACTGCTTAGTAAAACTACTTTAAAAATGACTTAGGGCTCAGAGCTGTGAGGTGCTTTGAGCTACTTTGTGGGAGGACCTCTCAAATTGTACTGTCATTATTAAGACACATATTTTCCTCCCAGATTTTACCTCCTAAGGCGAGTCCCATCATGGTATTACTATAATCACCTGGTCTCGTATAACGATGACATACAAATGACTAAATGATCAACCATCCAGGATAGGAACAAGTCTTTACTTGTAAAAATGAAAAACAGTTACTCAGTGATGCTTTGAGTGTTAATCTCAATTTTGGGCTGTATGGGAAAATTGAAAAAAAATGAAGACACGATACGCTGCTGGCCCATGAACCACACTTAGGTGGCGGTTCTCACTCTGACCTGCACGTAGAATCCACTGGAGAGCTGTAGAGACCTGGCCAAGCTGCCCAGTTAAACCATTCTCAGGTGTATGAGTGGCAGGGAAAATGGGTTTTAAAGCTCTCTGAAGATTCCAATACCTAAGAAGCACGACAGCTTCCCTGCTGTATTAAGATAGAAGACACCTTATGGACCTCAGCAAAGTGTCCCCTTGGGTATTTTGGAAGGGATCAAACGGTTCTATAAACTGCTAGTTTTAATAGCAGCATAAGCAATGGTGCCTGCGTATAAGACGGAAAATTGTAAAGAAAGATCACTCTTCTTTCACAATATCACAGACTCCAAAACTGCACAAACTTCACAAGCGAACATACTCTGACTACCAAGACGCCACTGGGGATAATTAGAAAAGGAAAGGGTGCAGACAGCACCCTCCTTTACAACCTCTCACTTGCATTGTTTGCAAAGTGCTTGAGCTGAAAGGAACGTGTTTGCTTTAGCAGCGCTTGAGGGGAAGTCTGCTCAGCCTGCTCGGAGCTGACGTTGGTTCTCGGAAGGGTTTTCTCTGGAAGGAAGCAACCGCGGACCTTAGTCCGGGTTTCTGCGGTGTGGATACGGAGTGCGCGCTTCCTTGGACCAGACCGCTGGGGGGCACCCCGCAAGTTTTGGGAGGCTGGAGGATCTGCCAGGGCGGGTGGGGAAGGACGCCTGGGCGAGCGGCTGCCACCAGGGGGCGCGCTTACACCCCAGCCAGTGACGCCAACGGAGGTCCCTCCTGACCCGGCCGGGGCCCGCCCCCCACCCTTCCGCGGGGTCACCCTGCCATCTGCAGGCTCCCGCATCGTCACCTTCCACACCTGGAATTCGCGTCGAAGGGCGAGCGGGGTTTTTAGGGAGTGAAAACCTCTCCAGAATTCCTGAGAAATGGCACGCACATTTGATTAAATTATTCCCCTTGGATATTTGAATGGTCATGCGCGGGGGCGGGGTGGGCTTAGCTTTGCATGAAAGTTAGCGACCCGGTGCAGAGTGATGCCCGCCCCGCCTCGCTCGCCTCCTTCCTCCTCCACCTTCTTAAGGGGTGGGTGACTTTTATTTTTTTTAAGCCTCTAAAATTTGGGCAGAAAATCCTTTGTGAAAGACAGCTGTCCCTCAGCCTGTCTCCAGGCTCTGTGTAAGCTACTGATGTACCCAAGTCAGCAGTCTCAAGGTTCTCTCTCCCTCGCTCTCCGTTGAAAGATAAATTTGTCTATGTGACTTATGATTTGGGGGAAAAAATGTTTCATTCTGCTGCTCCATGAAACCCTTCCAGTGTTTGCTGATTTGCTGAGATGTTTAACTGTGTCAAACTCTGTTGACAAGAAAGCAAAATGAATCTCTTTCCATTTGTTTTCTGTCCTCCTCCAAACCAGAATGGAGTTTATGCATATGCATTGTTAACGAGTTTAGGGTATAATTCAAAGACACATTTCCAAATTAGCTTCTGGGGCAGGGAACCACTACCAGAGGAATTCATTTATTCTAATGGAGACTGAGTATTTTAACATTAAACTCCCTCCACCACTAATGCTGCTCTGCAAATAAATGTTCCACGATAATTGAGGTTTTACCACCCCATTAAAAGTGCTGGCAACTGTGACAAAGACAAAACTGTTCTGTCCTAAGGCTGGAATATTTGGGTGAGAATATAAAAGAGCCCAAATCAAGCAGATTCAGAGTGATGGGCAAACTGCTGCTGAATGACTGTGTTGGTTTATTTGTAATCATTTATGCATAAAGTATATATTCAAGCACACAACTTCATAATTCTCTCTACCTATCTGGTTTAAAGCTCAAAATTAATAATCTCAGATAATAGATTCCTAATTTTTTTTAAGGGAAACATCATTTTCAGAGTTGAAACCTAAGTAACATAATGTGGTGGGCTTCAGAATATGAAAAAAAGCCTCCTGTTACAGTGGAACCCCTTGCCCGACTCTGCTAACGGCATGCACATGCTCTTGGGGAGCAGCCTGCGCACAGCTAAGAAAGGAATGCCACTCACCATACAGGATGGTTAACATGGACACAGGCATGACCAGGAAACCCAGCAGCATATCAGCTATGGCAAGGGACATCAGGAAATAGTTGGTGGCGTTCTGCAGCTTTTTCTCTAGGGACACTGCCATGATGACGAGTATGTTTCCAGCAATGGTGAGAATAATCACTACAGTTGTCAGTAAAGCAGACCAGTTTTTTTCCTGGAGATGAAGTAAGGAGAAACATGTTGCGGGGAGGCACCCTTCACAGGAAAGGTTGGTTCGATTTTCAGAGTCTATGGTCCAGTTCAGTGCATCAGACACATTCGCTTCTCCTGAATGGAAGGCACTGGGGAGCCTTGTGTCATCATTGAATTGCATTAAGGAGTTTGGAGTTGAGCTCAAAGAAGTATTTTCTTCACAAAGAACATCCATGTCTATGCCGGAACTTGTAACAGACGAAGTGTTGAAAGGCTCACAAGTGGCAGCCTCTGTTCACCGTTCATCTTTGCGTCCCCGTGCTCCACTGTGCGGAAGCTGGTGTGTGTGGGGGGCTCCTTTGGCTGGTTTTTTCTCTCCCATTATGATAACAATAGTTAGAGAACTGTGAGGGCTCTTTACATTTCCTCCTTCCACAATTTCACCACAGTCCATTGTTGAGTTGTAATTTTTTTTTTCAGCAAAGCAAGGTTTCTCCCCTCCTCCCAAAAAAGCAACCAGAATGGACTTTTAGCACAGCAGGTGCAAAGTTCTGAGAATTTAGGAACACAAATGTGATCCTGGCCAAAGAATAAAAGTTTTGTAACTAACTAGCACTCTTGCTTGGCTCTGTCTCCCTCAGTTAGAGATGCTGATCACAAAAGTTGACCACAGTGTTAAAACAGCATGCAATCCAGACCACTGGGGACACATACAGATGACATGAAGACAGTCAATTAAAAATATGCCGGTGTTAACCCTCTGGTAACTGGGCACACTTCAGGTTACAGTTCTCAGTCTTAGTCTGAGATGCTACAGCAATTGCTATCAGGAATTTCAGCTTGTATTATGATGCTTAGTAAACACAAGGAAAAAGAAAAAGTCCTGAAGATTAGTAGGTAACTTTCCACTCCAGAATTTCTCATGGAAATGAATCCATTTTGGCCAAGCATGATTACAGACCAGAAAGAACAAGGAAAAGAAAATCACACAGCAGTAAAATACAGTAGCATGAAAACTTACGCTTGTCCCCAAGCTCTGTGAAGCCGGCACGCTTGGCTATTCTGTGACTCGCCCCATCTCACATGGGCAGTGAGCCCGGGGAACAGACCCTTCTCCTTGAGCTCCTGGCAGCACAGTGAGACAGTAATTTGATTGCTGTTTTTGCTGACTTGGGAAACTGCTTGCAAGGGTGCAGCCAGTTCCAGCCCTGTGAGGTCCGAGTTGGCTCCTTTGCCAGCGGCCGGCGTGGCTCCTTCCTCCTGTGCAGCTGGCCTCGGCAGGCACACGCTGAGAGATCATTCACCAGCCCTTGTCAAAGTGACACAAAAGAACCACGCGAGAAAGTAGGCAGAGCAGCCTGCGCTCAGGCTCAGGGCTCCCGGTTACCACGGGGACGGGACTGAGCTGCTCTCTGGCTGCCTTGGGCGCCTCCTCAGACCTCCCTCTGTCTGTGTGTCATAACCGGCAAGGTAGCAACAGCCAGGGAGGCGGACCAAGCAGCTTTTCTTTCTTTCTGGTAACATCGGGAAGTTTTCCTTTGCTTTAGGGAGAAGTGGGAGAGCTCTCTTTTCATGCAGATTCCTGAGAAGGAAGCTAATCCTCATGGTGGTAATTTACTAGACTGAACAGAGAAGAGTGACCAGAGTGTCCATAAGGCTGGAAACAGCATGTCCTGAGAACTGGAGGCACAAAGCTCTTCTTTCCAGAGCCAACAGGGTGACGTCCAAAATGAGCTGAGTGGCCAGCAAATCAGTGGCAATTACTCTGCTAAACTATCTGCACTATTTCTATTTATTGTTAAATATATACAACAAACTTACTTTTTCTCCAACAGAAATATGCCACCCAGAAGTCATCCAAAGCTTTACGTAGAACTGGTGATGAGTTGGTTTTTCAGAACCAACACTAAACAACACTGCTTACACGGAGAAGAAGTCTTTCTCAAGAAGTCTTTTAAGAAAGGTAGAAGTGTGTTATTTTTACAGAAGAGAAAATAGATTATTTCTGGAATGTTTGGGGTTTTGAGATTTCTGCTTATTATCATCTTCTTTTATTTTTTACATTCTTTCATAGGCATTTCAACCACTCTCAGGCTTTCAAAATGTTGTGGCCAAATCTGTAACTTCGTGGCAGATTATTTCCATGAGTTCCAAACTACTGGATTCTCCCCTTTACAACCTCGCTGGCCTTGACCTTTGCATGTCCTGTTCCTCTCCATCTCCCATCTTTTCAGGGCTTATTTCCACTCATTCTCCTGTTCACAGAGTCACCACCTCTTCAGACAACTGGCTACAATGCAGTACCCTTCCCTTCTTGTCTCGGCCAGCTCTCAGTCTCCAGTGCTACCTCTGTGTACATATTTCTCAAATTTCCTTGGCTCCAGCCCGCAGCTAAATGTTCTGTGGTTGAGGGCTGCTTCGTCTGCCTCCTGGGTGGGTGCATCACTCTCCCGTCTGCCCTGTCACTGTTCTCCTGTCCCTGCACAACAAGTATGTGTACTCTTTAGTGGGTAGTGAGGCACAGGCATAGGAATCATGGTTCGTTAGTTTTGAGTCCCAGCTCTATAATTCATAAATTGGAGAGCTTTGAGCAGCCAGAGACTTCCTCTTCAATTCTGTGTTCTCCCTGTACTAGAGGCAATGGTGGTACCTTCCTTATGAGGTCATAGCGAAGCTGAAATCGGGTAATTTACTTATTTAGCTCATGTCTAGTGTACAGGATGTTTAGTATGTGTTAGCCATTTTTCTCTTATTAATATTCTTACTGATGGGAAAAAATTGGCACCACCTCCTTGTCTGGGTTCCTTCATCCGCTCTCTGTGGAGTACATGACTTTTCTTAGTTTGCGCTGCGCTCAGGACCCCTACTTTCCAGGCCTGTATTCTCCCCATGAGCAGCCTTTGTGCAGGTTGCTCTTGAATGCTTCTGACCTTCTTTATGACCATCCTTGCAATCCCCTGTGTCTGGAATGTTCTTTCCACCTTTGTCTTTGTGTTCATCTGTGAAAATCCTAGTCAGCTTTGAAAATCCTTCTCAGTTCCAAAGTCATTGCCTCCGAGAAACCCTGGCTTGCCTTTTATTATTCGTGTTAACTTGCTTAAATTTTTTAATGTCTACGTTTTAGTTTTCTTGTCTATCAATAAGAAATATTACCTTAGAGGATTGATTCGATAGCAAAGTAAATTTATATATGTGCTGTGTGCATATGTAAGCACACAGTAAGGTTTAGTTGCTATTATTCTTATTTTTGTTGTTAAGCTTACTGTGGCCCTTTTTCCTCAGTAGATGCAAATACTGTAACATCTTCTTCAGCCTTCCCTTTCAATATTCATCATGTTGCATGCAGCTCCATAAACACAAGAATTCTCTGTCTTCTTCAGGATTGGTCATATGGTTGGTGCTCAAAGGTACTGACTGGATCTGTGGCTGATTTATAATTACCTATTTGCCTACCTGACTTCTCTTAACAAGGGTGCAATTCTCGTGATGGAAGGTTTTCAGCAGCTGTGTTTTGATTTAATTATTAATGTATATTAAAAATGAGAATTAGGGAGAAATCTACAGACCCTAATTTTTTCACTGCTTTGCCCAGTGCCATGCTATTTTAATTAAAAGGGGCAAGAGGCAATTTTATTTAAAAACCCCAGTATTGGGAAGTTATTCTAAACCTTCTTGATGTTGAATTTTGGGTTATGAATTTCTGTTCTCCTAGGTGAAGTCTAATTTTCTCAGATCATTATGAACAGTTGGGCTTCTAGTCACAGTGAAACTGGCCAGAGAATTTCCTATCATGTAATTACACAACGAGATACCTACTAGTAACTATCTAAGATTATTTGTGGTTCTTCCTGCAGTTTTATTACAGACAAAGCAATATAGGCTTAATCTGGCTTCCGATTTCCTTTCTTTCTTTCTCTTTTTAAAATTTTCCATCTTAAAGATAATAAAATTCAACCAAACAAAACAGAACAAAGACAATCAAAACAAAGCAGCAAAATTGGTACAGAACTTCCAAGCAGGATATTAGGAAAACAACAGTAGCTACCATAGTGTATCTTGTTATCTTCCCAATAGTTGTCCATTCCATTACATACAGCAAAATCAAACCAAAACAAAACAGAATAAAACCATTCAAAACAGAACATTGAATAAAGCAAAACAATTGATCAGAACAGAACCAAACAGTTAGAATAACATTGGATTTCAAAAACATGATGGAAGGAAATCCCCCATATTTGCTGTATTGTACACCATCGTCCTCCCAACTGATGCTTAGACCGCTGGCCCCAGGCCTGCAAAATCAACCAGACAAATCAAGCAATCAGTTGCTTTTTGTACATTAGTTGCTATCAACTCAGCCTGCCTCTGAACCAGCTGGTTGCTTACAGGGTGGATTTTTGGACCAGGTGCTGGTAGGCTCACGGGATGTGCTATTTGACTTTTCTCTTCCTGGACTCCACATGGCTTGCATGGCTTACCAGAAAGCCTGGCTAGTTAGCTTCTCGGTGGTTCCTCCCAGTCCCAGCATGGCCAATTCCCAGGCAACTGACTTTTCTTTCTTTCTCTTTCTTTCTTTCTTTCTTTCTTTCTTTCTTTCTTTCTTTCTTTCTTTCTTTCTTTCTTTCTTCTCTCTCTCTCTCTCTCTCTCTCTCTCTCTCTCTCTCTCTTTCTTTCTTTCTTTCTTTCTTTCTTTCTTTCTTCTCTCTCTCTCTCTCTCTCTCTCTCTCTCTTCTTTCTTTCTTTCTTTCTTTCTTTCTTTCTTTTTTTCTTTCTGACAGAGTCATGCTCTGTAGTTCAGGCTGGCCTCAGATTTGTGGCCATCCTCTGCCTCCCAAGTGCTGTGATTACCAGGAGTGCACCGCCATGCTTCGCTGCTCGCTACTGATTCTTGAACAGGACCTATCTATTAGTGACACAAAACTCAGACTTATTGGAACAGTTCCTTGCAGGTCAGACTCCCCCTTGTGAGTCTGGTGATTCTGAGGGCTTCAGGGGCACTGAGCACCACTCAGATCTCTGTTGCAGAAGTAACAGTGGATGGCCTTCAGCAAATTCTCCCTGTAAGGACTACCCTTGGCCAAAAAGCTCCCTTGTACATGCCTCTTCTCTGGACAGTCAGCATACCACTGAAGTCTGTCCATGGTAATATGAGTCTAGCTCTCTGACCTCAAGGCAAGGTGTTGCTCAGGGGCTCCCTTTCTCCAGAGGTTCCTGAGGGATCTGCCTAGCCCTCTGTTTTGAGTGAATCACAGGTAAGTACCTCCCTCACCCAGTCCTGCTTCCCTTGCTCCTCTAAAGGGGTTGATCTGTGAGCACTTCCCAGTAAACCTTCCTATGCATGTCTGTCTCAGTCTAAGACTTATTTTCTTAAATTTTTGTTTAAATGACTAAACACCTGCATTGGCTGAGTTGCACGTGTTGCAAAGAACAGAAAGATAAATGCTGCCTACACAGTGATAGTATAAAGTTCCTTGGCGTAGAATCACAGCTCTTGAATTGACAATTGACTTTGCTACTTTATTAATGCCAGAAGAATTTTAAGGGGAGAACTCAAAAACTGAGCTTATTATTTTGAGAATTCTTCTAGGACTTAAGTAGGGTGATTAGTATTTGGCTGCATTCTATAACTAGTTTATTTGGAGTGTTCACCAGAAAGTGATTGCTTAAAATTGGATGTTTGTTTGTTTTTAATGACTGCAGTTGCATTCGTAGCCATTGTTTAGCTTTTTTCCATGCTAAAGTTGTTGGGTTCTAAAACATTATTACCTTATGGACATTAATAATGTGGGGGGAAAAGTTCTGTGAGCAAATAAATCAGAGCATATTACTTCCAATAGCCTGCTCTTAGAAATAAAGTGCACACTGACATATTAAAGGCTATAAGAGATTCTATAGCAAAGAAATTTGCTTACATTTATCTCTTTTACTCCCACTTTTGTAGAACAGTCACCACAGGTGAATTTTATTTGTTTAAATTATGTGTTACATTCATTAAAACATGAAGCTCTTAATTATGCAGTTCAATGAGTTTTCACAAATATACTTATGTAAACCAAATTAAGATACCTACCATTTTTCCCTGAAAAGTCCCCCTTTCCTCTTTTGATCTCTTTTCAATGGAGACAAGGTTTCTTATGCTGCATAGTATGTGTGTGAGATCCATCCACGTAGCTGGAAATAAACTTCTTAAAAGATGGATTATATTTTGAGAAACTCTTAAATGGTTTAGATATTCAAGTGATTTACATTCATGTATTTTTTTGTTCAAAGGAACATAAAATTGATCTTTGTTCCATTTGTAATTTTTAAGATTAGCTTTTCAGGATAGTGCTAATGTTAACCTCTGTTCAACTGATTGTATCTGATTTTGTTCTGAATTGGTAGCACAGACCACTTTTTTTCCATGTACTTTCTTAAGAATATGACTCTGTGATTTCTGCTAACCACAGCTTACAGATAGTATGAGAATCAGAAAAAATATCCAGCGGATTTTCTGAATAATACTTAACTCATCACTTCCTTTGGGTGGTCCCATTCTCAGGACTGGAATAGCTCAGGTTTTCTAACTATATACCTGGAGTATTCAATACTTTAATTGGCTTGTATTAAAATGCATTAGTTAATGATTACCACTATTTTACAAATTTTCACACAGTGATGTTTAGTTTAAAAATGATTCTGAATTTAACAGAAAATTGTGATTATTGAGTGCTGTACCAAACACTGCTCCATGAAGTTGGACAAGGTTTCTACCTTAATTTATTTAAATCACTCAAGAAATAGTTGGTTGCAGCATGGATGAGTATAAGGGTTCGGCAAGAGATATATACTTGGTAGTTAGTGGCATACTGCTAGTATTTAAAACATGATCCTGAATGAAATATTTAATCAAGAAAGTAGAGACTGAGAAAGGAAGAGGGAGGAGCCTGGGTCATTCTAATGTTTTAGGTGAGAGAGGTGTGGAGGAATTAGAAAGCAATTCTGCGAAGCCAGGTGAAGAAAGGTCTATAAAGGAGACAAAGTGCCAGGTCAAATGTTTCTGATAAGTTGAATACAATGAGGGCTTAGTTGATTATGATGCAGATTGAATACCATCAAATTGATCCCAATGGCAGTCTTTTATGATCTTGACAGCAATTGCTCCATGAAGTGGTTGGAGTGAAAACTCAATTAAAAGGGTTCAAAAGAAAATGAGAAAGAGAGGAACTGATGATGCACGTAAACAACTACTGTGAAAATAAGTGGAAAAGAAGCAGAGAAATTTGGTGATATTTGGAGGGAGTAGAGGCAACAGCAGGTTAGACTGTGCTCTGGTGACAATCCTCACTAGTCTGGGGTGGGCAGGAAGGATTGATGGTGATGGGGTGTGGAATAAGGCTTGAAAGATTATGGAGCATAATTAAGGCTTTCTAGACCATAGCAAATGTTCTAGATTC